TATATATATATATATATATATAATTTCAAATTCTTACTTTTTTTGGAGAATTTGAAATTCTTCTATTTCAAGGAATTTTACAAATATTTGAATTTCAAATTCTTTATAAATTCCTCATCTAAACAAGGTATTTCACTTTAAAGAATTTGAAATTCTTTAAACAAATGAATTATTCTATTTAAATTCCTCATCCAAACACACTATCAACGAAATCAAAATCGAAACATGCACTTAATTAATTGTCAGTTTTAAAAATAAAATATGTTTATCGAGAAAAAAGAGCTAATAAGCTTTAATGTAATCAAAAGTTCTTAAAACAATGTAATTATACATATTTTTAGTCACACAAAACCTTTGAAGGACATTTGTTGGGATAAAGTTAATATTAAATGGAGACTTACGTATTTAATTCTCATAAAAGACACATAGTTCGTACTAATATAAAAGTATTATCTTCCTTTACCAAAAAAAAAAAAAAAGACTTTACCAAAATAAAAGTATTATCTTCAGAATAATTTTAAATTTTATTTATTTAGAGCATATTTTAACTTCAATATATTATTGAAAAGTACTCACCTAATTATTTATCAACAACCACGTTTTAAAACTTTTTTTTTATTTTTTTTATTTCTGTTGTAAAAAAAAACTTCTTTTTCCCTTTATATAAGTTTCTTAACAAATTTCATGAAGCACTAAATATTGTTTCAAGTCTATTTTTAATGTCCAATTGTATCATATTAATTAATTGTTCTATATTTTCTTATATATATTACTTTTACAATAATTGAAGTTCCTTTTCATTTATTTGTATATTCACAGAATTGTTTGCAAATTCAGAAATTGTATCAAGAGGTGTTTTGTATAGTATTCTAGGCAAAGATTTAGGTTTGAGTTTGAAATTATTAAATATCAAATTCAAACTTGTACATCAATCACACCACAAGGTTGGAGTTTGCAATTATTACATAACAAACTTAGACATAAAGCTAAAAACTACTGGACCATATATTATGGGCTTGGACTAATGTAAATTAAATGTTTAAAATTTGTCAATGAATCTCAATATGTTAATTAATCTTCATTATGCTAATTAATTATTAATATGTCAATTAAATCTTGTAGTCCTCATCAAAGATATCCTATATATAGACTCAACGCAATGAGAATGGACAAAACATAACAATGATTCAGATAGTGTTAAACTTTGGGACCAACTTACTTCTTAGAGTTTGACATTGCCTTGAAAATTTAGTTCCTGCATAGGGCTTGGTGAAATTTTTCGGACATTTTTGTAAGCCTTACTCCATGGTAATGACTTAAGTTTTTATTTATTTATTTATTTATTTATTATTATTATTATTATTATTATTATTCAACTTTGACGAAAACAAGGAAATAAGAATATAACCATAATGAAAAGAAATAAATTCATAATGAAAAACTTACAAAGAGAAATATAGCAAGAAGATTTGGAAGATCAGATTCTGAAAGTAGCAAGACAAAGCTTTTACTATCTCAAAACTCTCGATGCCTATTGCAAACATCATAGAGTTCTTATAAAGAAGGAACATACATATGAAAATTACATATAAGAGCATTTACAATTCTCACTTATTAGGGGCATTGACAGAAAAGAAAATAAAGTACATTCATTATTACAAAAGATAACGTATTCTAGAGCTACAAGTGAGAAGGTAGCAAGAGCATCTTTGAAATTTCTGCACATTTTATCTAAAATGAATCTTATCTTGAACAGAGAATATTATCTTCTAAAGAATATTGAATAATTTTGTCTGGGCATCTTATCTTGTCAGAGCATCTTATCTTTGATGTACTTATCTCTTATCTCTTGAGAATCTTGAAATCGTATCTTGTCAGAACATCTTATCTTTAAGGTACAACTTATCTCTTATCTTTTGAGAATCTTGAAATCTTTAATCAAACATATTGTTAGGATTAGTGGAGACAGAGTCAGGTGATCCAGTTTTTTCCTTTTGTGAAGGATCTTGCATTGCTTGAATTAACTTTAATCTTTCTTCAAACTCATCTTGAGAGGTGGCTGACACCAATTCTGCCATAATCTTGCTTTTTTCGACTAAAAATTTAGTTTCTTCATCTAAATCCTTTTTGATGGAAGAGCATGGGCTAAAGGCCCAACCACTAGAGCAATGGCCAGGAGGTTACTTGAAGATTTGACTACTTCAGAGCTTAGTGGGCCCAATGGGCTTGGTGGGCCTAGGGTGCTTTTCACTTGGGCTTTGATTGATTAAACACCATGATTAATTGTATTTTCTTAGTATAGGAATTTACTTTGATGTTGGTCTTGTATTTTGACCATAGATTAGGGTTTAGGTGTCTTGGGCTTAATTTTGGGCTTCTTGGGCTTTGGGCTTTTGATACCCAATATTGGGCTCATTCTTCTCCTTGTATTTTTTCCTATTCATTGTATTCATTAGACCATTGTATTTTGGTCATTAGATTAGGGTTTAAGGAGGTTTAGTAGTTCATTTGAATTAGGACAAATTAGGTTAAATTTAGGATGGATTTAAGTTGCATTTAGGTCACACTTTTGGCACCACCTTGGCTACACAAGTGTGACACCGAAATGCAACCCTAAATACATACTAAATTCAACTTAATTTGCATTTAGCTCCACATGACCGGTTATGCACATGTGACACAAGGTTTGAATTCAAATTTGAATTTGAATTCAAATCTTGGCGCCAACATGTGACCTATCATGTGGCGCCAAGTGTCTCCTCCTATTTTCGGTGCATTATATGTTCCCTCCTAACACATTTTGTATTCACTTTTGATCATAATAGAAATTTGTGAGCCATTGGCCGAATTTCCTCTCTCAAAAGTCCCTTAGAGTTCATCTTCAAAACCTTAGGATTTCACCTTAGAATCCTTCTCTTTGAAGTGTGCTCTCCATTGATGCTTGAGCTTGGATGCTTCCCTCCTAGTTCAAAGTTGAGTTCATCCGTGAGTTCTTAGCTTATAAGTGTTCTTGAGTTGAAGAATCAAGTCTCCATTGAAGAAGATCCGGCCTAAGCAAATCCGTGGAGAAGATCATCCATCACTCCTCCTAAGTTTGCTATCACTTTTGTTCTTTGGAAGTAATGGATGATGAACTTATTTTAACCCATTCATCAATCCTCTTAAGACTTAACATTTTGATGTCGAATTTCTTCCACCATTTCACTTTAATAGATCTTGTCAAAAGTAACAAACTATTATTAGAGTAACACTGCCGATATATATAATCCCACAACATGATCCAAGTAATATATTTTGAAGTTATGAAGGATATAAACTTATACCCCGTTAAAAAGGTTGTCTTTTGTTTAAAATAATTGAATATCTCAGAAACTTCATCAGGAAAGATTTCTCTAATAGGTCCAAATTTGATAAACCATTCGAGAAACCATTTGGTGAATTTTAAAGAAATCCCTCTACGAAACTAGATAAACCAGGAATGGGTTTTTTGTTGAAGGTAGAGAAAATTAGTCTAGGCATCTATATAATCATAATAGGAATATTGTTGGGGCTCAAAGGTTCTTGAGAAATTATTGGTTTTATGAAGAGGTTGGTTCCATTCATTAAGGGTAATAATCCTGAGAATTTTTATTTTTGAAAAATGGATTTTTTCCTAATCATCTATGATATGAGTTAACTCTATTGAATCGGTGTCTATTAAGATAAATTCATAAAAAATTCTAGATTTATAAGTGGGAAGGTAATGATAATTTTCTAGAAATATTATGGAGGCTAAGGTGGTTAGAGTTAATTTTTTTTCCAGTTAGGTTCTATTGGTAAGATATCAATATTTTCATCTTTAGTAATGTATT